AGAGAGAGAGAGAGAGAGAGAGAGAGAGAGTCCTGGATTATGACAGAGAGCATTAGAATCCCACCATACATTGGAAGCAGGTGGATGGTAGTGCTGACACTCAGGTGGGCAAAGGAAATCCCAGTAAATAAGAGAATGGGATTTGAAGTAACATTCTTGTGTCTTCTTTTAATCATCAGGACAACCCATCTCCATTGGCTTGATCTGTTTGGCAATAATAGTGCCCTCATTGATCCTTTTGGCAGGCCTTGCTTTATGGTTTAAGAGGCGCTGGTGAGTTTTAATTTATTAAATCTATCACCCCTCTGACTCTTTTCCACTGTTCACTGTCTCTTTAGCCTTAGTATTTCCTTCAGGACCTTCCTCTTTTCTGCTCAACTCCTATGCCCTATGTCCTGAGCTATTTTTCATTTGTGTTCTTAATAGGTCATATCATGATATTCTGTGAGACCTCATCACATCTCCTCTTCCATTAGGAATAAAAGCCTATAGAACTCCAGAAGCTGAAGATGTCAGCCAGGGCTCAAAATAGACTTCAACCACAAGCAGAAAAAAAACAAAAAACACCTGTAAACTTATTATTAGCCAGTGTCAATTTTGAGATTCACCTAGATTTAATAAATACTAGTGTGAGAAGGAATGTCCTCAGAATAAATGAAGTATGATATACAAACTGAATGGTGTTATTAATTTGCTTTCCTATTTTAAGACTTTATTTATGCTTCTGTTTAAGTATCATTTGTCAAAGTAGCTAACTACAGTTATACAGGAATAATTGTATTTACAGAGATGCTGAGCCTTTGTAAGGTAATTTCTCTGTCTCATTTGTAAGACTGTCTAACCTTCTCAGCTGAGGTGCCACATCCTCTGGAAAGCATTCCCCAGTGCTACAAATGGAAGCAATCCTGCCTTGTCTGTAGTGATGCAGAGAACTACTTTACTCTGTATCCATGGCTTTGCAGCTATTAGTTTTTCTTCCCCTTCTACTTAGTAAAGGCCCTCTTGTGGCATAGTGCCTAAGGTATTTGACTGCTAACCAGAAGGTTGACAGTTTAAACCCACTAGCCATCTGTGGAAGGACAACTGGGAAATCTACTTTTGTAAAGATTTACCACCTCAGAAACCCAAAGGGGTCACTATCAATCAGAACCGACTCAATGGCAGTGAGTTTGGTTTTGTTTTTTGGTCTACTTAATAAGTCCCTAGGGGCAGAATTTGTGCATGTGGATCCCTGGAAAGTTCCCTTACCTGCATCTCTATTTTCTCTATAAAGACAAACTGAGTCAACATAACTGCCAAAGTAATTTTCATTTTTTGTCTTCAGTTTCCTTTCTTTTGCATCATTAGTTGACACTGTAGAGTTCTTCTTACTAAAATATTTCTCACTTAGTCAGAACATATTATGGTATCTTTTGCTTTTCTTGTTTCTGCTTTGACCTCTTCTGGAGAAAGTCACCATTGCCCTGATGACAACTATAGTCCAGCGACAAAGAGTTACTAGATTAGGATTCCTGTTCTTCATTTTCCAGGAGGAACAAGTGAGAGACAGGGCGGGTAAGAGGTAATAGTGAAGGGGGATTGTTAACTGCTTGAGAAAAAGAATTAAGAAGTTGTTCTTGCCCTTAGGTACCTTGAGATCTGTGCTATGGCAGGTCAGTCATGTCTTGGATTGGTGCTTTACGTTTATTCATTCCTTGTTTTTCTATAGTTTTCTAGAATTTCTTTTTTAAAAAAATATCCCAACTCATTTTTTTTAAAAGTATAGTTCAGGGAAGCATCTGTGTTTACTTTTTATAGAAGGGAAGTCAGAACAAACAGAAACTCTGAAGAGACCAGTGACTTCTAGAAATAGTTCCCTAATCTGGATGTTTTAAGACAGTCTGGTGTACCAGGATTTGGAAGAAAAGGGAAAATACTTGAAAAGTGTAGAAAATGGCTAAAAACACAGCTTTCTTTGTCTGTGTTAGCATGGTGGGTTGATTCTCCAGGATGTATTCAACTCTACCTCACCGTGTAGAGCAGCCATGTGTTGTTGATGTTTGATGGCACTCTCAGCCACAGACTGGGTCTCTGATTATTCTGTAATTCTCTGCTTGTGGATCACTAACCAGCAAAAGCCCCAACAGCAATTTACTTATCAGCACTATTAAAAATAATGTTGAAAATTGGAACCTTTCTCCTATGCTCTCTATATCTCACCTGCTTTCAACTCTGGAGTGGGGAAAGGACACTACTTATTGGGTTCAACATTAGCCAGGTGGGGTGCAGTGAATTACTTAGCATGGTTCTCCTAGCCATGGTTGTTGTGACTCCCATCAGATGACTGGGTGGAACTATGCAAATATAAGGTGCTTGTTGTTCACCAAAGGGATTGGGTAGTTTGTTAGTAATGTAAATAAGGTTCATGGTGCCCTTGTGGGGGTGGAATCCCCAAAATAAGGTCTAGGGAACCCTAATGTGGAGATTTGTCAGTTTTGTCTTTCTGCTAGGCTTAAAATGAGCCACCGCAGAAACAGAAAAGGGGAATCTCACCACCATCAAAACATAGAATTGCTGGAAGTGGAGCATATCCTTGGACATGATATCCCTGGGCTGAGATAATGGCAGAGAGATGGAAGAGAGATGGTGGTAGCAGAGGCAGCAGAACCAAGAGATCAGTGTGAGACCTAGCAGTGGCCTAGCTGGCCCAAGAAGCGGGAAAGCTGAGTGCCTTGTCACAGGAGGCTTGCTTGTGAAGTGTGGTGAACGAAAGAGCCCAAGCGGGGCAGAGGCCAGGCTGAGAGGTTAAGGGCCAAAGAGAGGCATGCTTGTGGACATGGCGGAGGGGAGGCTGTCCTCATCGAAGAGTTGTATACTGAGTGTTCCTGAACCTGAATTGTGACCTATTACTTCCCCATAATCGTGAGTACTTTCTGTGAGTTTTGTGTGGTCATTGCAACAAATTAATGAACCTGGCAGAGAAGTAGAGAGTGCTGTGGGAGGGGCAGTTTGTGTCAGAATTAGTAAAAAGTTTGGAGGGTGGCAGAATGTCTGATCTCCATTTCATCAGCCTTGGGCTGATGCTGCTGATGGTGATTGTCTCTCCCCCTCATGATGTTAGAGGTCAGGCGATGTTTCCCCCATGCCCTTTTTGCTCCAGGTTAGCTAGGATGTTTTGCAGTTATAAATAAAATTTACAATCTTAGAGGTTTAGTGTAAACCAATTTATTTATTATGTAAACAAGCTCCTGTAGATCAGTCAGCCCTTGTCCATTTCATAGCTCTGTCTCCTGGAACAAGTGACTTCCAAGCTGAGTCTGCAGGTCAAGATGATCAGATGTGATATTTTAAAAGGCCCAGCCTGGAAGTGGCTTATACTCTAGCACACATTTTATTGGCCATAATACAGGCACATTGCCCCACCTTAATTACAAAGGAACAGGAGAAATGTATTTTTCCTGATGACTCATGTAGAAAAAACTTGCTAAATGCTTGTTGCTGTTAGCCACTGTTGAGTCTATTCCAACTCATGGAGATCTTAAGTATATTAAAGCAAAACATTGCTTTTTCTGCATAATCCTCACTACTGCTGTCATGTTCAAGTCTATCATTGCTGCTACTGTGCTAATATATCTCACTGAGAGTCTTCCATGCCCTCCTTGGCCTTCCACTTCACCACTAGTAATTGATTCCTCCTGATGGCAAATCCAAGACAAGTGAGCCAGATCATGTTTTGTTGTGACCTGTATGGTTTTCTTTGGCTAATTTTTGGATGTATCTTATCAGGTCATTCTTCTCAATGTATCATAGACTGAAAGCCCTGTTATGCATGATCCTGCTTGTATTTGAAACACTGGTGGTAGAGCTTCCAGGATCACAACAATGTACAAACCACCACAGGACAACAAATTGACAGATAAGTGGTGGTTATATCTACTGTTATTATTGTTGTTGTTAGGTGCTAGTGAGTTCATTTCAGCTCAGTGACCCCCATATTTCAATGTAGTAGATTGACCCCATAGGGTTTGCCATTTACAATAAAAGTAGAGGCAAAGTGAAGTCTTGTGTTTATGAATGACGTGGGTGGGGCTTAAATGATGTCTTACTCTTAGATGTGTCTGGAGCCTCAGAAATTTCCAAATTTCTGACAACATAATGACCAGATCTCACTGAGTGTTGTTTCCAGTCTCACAGTTAACACTGAGTAATCTGAGTAAGAGATAAAATGACAAATAGTGTTTTCAGTGACTATTCTTGCATTCAGTGGATTATTTAAAATTATTTAAGGGATGTTATAACAGTAAAAAATGGGAGCCCTGGTGGCACAATGATTAAGCAGTCTCTTGCTAACTGAAAAGTCGACAATTTAAACACACCAGCACCTCTCCATGGGGAAAGCCCCAGTGATCTTCTTCTATGAAGATCATGGCCAAGAAAACCCATGGGGGCAATTCTGCTCTGTCCTATAGAGTCACTATGAGTCAGAATTGATTTGACAGCACTCAACAACAACAACATAATAATAAGTGCATTACCTGTGTCTCACTAAGATATTGTGCTCATGTTTTCAGGCACATTAACCCATCACGGTCATGTATCAATTAGTAAGTAAACTACATAAGTAATTTAAACATTACCAAATGCTGCCCCTTTTTTGGCAATACATTTTGTTTTTTCAGATCACACCATTTTACTCCAACATGCATGTTATGGACTCCCCATGTCTGTATTCTCCTGGAAAGTTGCATCTTCCAACTACCACAGTCCAACATAGGTCAACATCAGGTTGAAATGTACTTCCAGAATTTGAATTTGTGGATGTGCAGGGCTTTGGCAGTCAAAACACTTCTCCAGGGCACATTGTTCTAAGCAGGCCTGTATCTGGGTATTTTATACATAGAAATGGCATTGAACACAATACATTTTAAGTTTTGTTTAAATATATTTCTTTTCCTGTAGTTTAAAAACTCCTTGATTGGTGTGATTGCATTCTCTGTATGTTCACATGCCTATTAAGATGACTAGTGCCAAACACATGTTGAGTGATTTTTAGGTGAGTGAATATATGAGCTATGATTAATAGAAGGTTTTATTCTTTGTATGTTTCATGCCCCTGCACAGTTTTAATGGCTGGAGTTTCATCTCTAAAGACACTGGAGAGTTTCCTCCAGTGTAGTTTATACAGATGCACAGGGTAGATTCCAAGCAGGCAAACTCTCAAATTTGTAAGTGAGCCAATGAGAATCAAAAGATGACTATGGCTGTGAACAAGAGATAAAATGGGAAGGAAAATTCTTTGGGGACATTATAAAAGAGGACATGATAAGAGCTTGGAGGCAAAGTTGATTGGAGGAAATGAAGGAATTATGGTCTGATAAAGCAAACAGGATCTTGGAAAATGTTTAGTTTCTCCTCTTTATTTTATAATTGGTGCACAAAATGCAAGAGAAGTGAAGTAACCCTTAAATA